TTATTTATTTATTTTATTGTACTTTAGATGAAGGTTTGCAGAACAGATAGTTTCTCATTAAACAGTTAGTACACATATTGTTTTATGACATTGGTTAACAACCCCACAACATGTCAACACTCTCCCTGCTTGCCCTTGGGTTCCCTGTTACCAGTTTTCCTGTTCCCTCCATTAGGAGAGCTTATCACCTCTGGACATGTCTCAGATGCAGCTGGCATTGGAGGTGAAGAGGGAAGGAAGAGTAACCAGATTATCTGAGTTCTGATACCAGCTATCCCAACTACTACCTGTGTGACTCTGGGCAAGATACTTCACTTCTCTCTGTACCTACTTCAGGGGGCTACTGGGAGGTTTAAGGGGAATTGTGCATTGACTGTGCATTTTATACAGCTCTGGGCATGTCTTCCAGATGTCCTTTCCCAGTATTGTGACCTGGTACATGGACTCAGAGACACCCCAAGGCAGAAGGAGCAGAAGAGGTGGCCTCGTCCAGCTTCTTACCTTTAATTGAGACCCCCTAAGTCATCCTGACAGCTTTTACTTAAACTCTCCTGCCATCCATCCAGCTGGTCCAATGGGGAAGGCCCACTCTGGGGATGGGTATTAACTGTTCATTGCTTCCTGCCCAGGGGTCCAGCTTATCATGGGCATGCTGTCTGAGAAGCCAAGGTCTGGAAACCCTGCAGAAGCGGCGGCATGTGAACGAGTCCAGCAGAAAGCTGCAGTGACCTTGGCCCGTCTCAGCCGAGACCCAGATGTGGCACGAGAGGCTGTGCGGCTCAGCTGTAAGTGGTACTGGCTGTGGCTGAGGTGGAGTAGGGAGCTTGGAGTTGGGAAGGGACACAAAACAAGGGCTGGCTGAAGTAAGCCCTACTCTCTGGATGCTGGGAAATGCAACTGATGCCGGGCTGGGGTGGAAGCCCAGGGTATAGCCCCAAGTCTAGCTTGTAGCCTGGGGCTGAGGCAAGAGAGAGGAAGGGGCTCGAGATGTTGAAGTCCGCCAAAACAGTGACTCGCCTACAGATTTCTTGTTAATTAGGATCCCAGTCTCTCACTGACTCATTCATTTATTTATTACTCATTCCTATACTTATCCATTCATTTGTTCATTCATTCATTGTTCATCCCTTTACTCACTCATTAATTAGCCTATTAATAGCTTCATTTATTCACTACTAACTTGCTCATTAATTTGCTTACTCATTAAATCACTCATTCATTCAGTCAGCCATTTATACATCTAACAAATATGTTCAGAGCACCCATTCTATGCTAGGCTCTGCTCTGTCTGATTGCTAGGCATAGAACACCAAATATAACGCTGTTCCTGACCACAGTGGCTCACAGACTAATGGGGGTGACAGATACAGAAAGAAATATTTGCACTTGAGTATCATAGGAGCTATGCAAAGCATTGCATGGTCCATTTGGGGTACAGAGGAAGTAGCCCACCTTTTATCTGGAGGGTGGGGGGTGTCAAAGAATGTTTTAACAAGGAGGTAAGCCTTCAGATGTGGTTTGAAGAGTATGTAGGAGTTCTTCAGGTGTGCAGACTGGGAAAGGGCGCTCCAGATAGAGAGAGGCATGAGAAAAGCTGTGGCACTCTCGCTCATCATCCAGGTACACTGAGGGACAGCAAGGGGCAGCAGAGGGCCCCAGGGCAGCAGAGGGCTCCTGCTCCGTAATGACTTTATAGAGGGTAAACATACAGAAAATGTCTGCACATCTTTTTTTAAATCAGCATAGTGGTAAATTTATTGGCAGTGCAACCTTATGACCCACACAAATACAAAAAAATGTCAAGCAATAAGCCCAAAAAAATGACAGAAAAAAAATAGATCACTTAAATAAACCTTAACGAATCAAACTTGTGGTCAAATTAGAAGTGTATACATAACATTAGCCCATAACCGGTTGCCATCGAGACAATTCCGACTCATAGTAACCCTATAGGACAGAGTAGAGCTGCCGCATAGGGTTTCCAAGCTGGTGAATTTGAACTGCTGACCTTTTGGTTAACAGCCAAGCTCATAACCACTGTGCCACCAGGGCTCCATACATAACATTAGGTGAAATAATTTCCACTACAGTTTCATTGTCTCAAGCCCAGTATGTAATTCCCAACTTCCTCTTCTAGGATACCCAACTTTCTCTCCCGGGACTGTCGTCTAGATGGGTCATGGGGTAATTCTTTGAGGATGATTTTTATGTAATCATATCTCTTCAAGACATTTTTGGGTCTTATCAATGACCAAAGACATGACATTTCTTAGGAACATACCCCTTAGACCTCAGTATGCTTACCACAGATGTTGCTCTTAAAGCCTGAGCTAAACAGGATCAGAATTTGCACATATTCTTTGCTGGATACCTGGGTTGTAGGAATTGGTCTTTCTGCACATCTTTTACTACTATTTCATAATAAATTTTTTAGGAGATTGAAAAAGGTCATTTTGTATTGAAAAGTAAAGTCACTTATTTAACTTTCCTCTGTAAAGCCTTAGGAAACATCGACTTACTACAGTCTGTAGTTTTCTGTTTTAGCCACAATATATTTTCTGACTGAAATAGGCAATTGGAGAAAAAAAAAAGTATAGCACAGTATATTATACATAGTATAGTATAGCTGGAAAGTTCCACTGGTAAAGATGCAAATGCTAAATATAGCTCTGGTAAAACCAGAAGTACCTAACAGAAAGTTGTTCCACAGAGAGACCCATACATAATACCTTCTGCTGCAGGTTTAACTAAGTTCAGTCCTGGCAAGTGTTCTGGTTATTGTGGGTTTGCTTTTGATGCTGCAGCTCATCCTGCTTTTGACTACAGTCTGTTCATAGCTGAGGGAGCAGGAAGTCTCCATCACAAACTCCTCTAGGTGGGTTTAGCCCCCTTCCCTGGCAGATTGGCAGGCTGCCTCAACAGGGCCCCATGCAGAGTCTGGTACACGACAGAGGGTGAGCCCCTCTGGGTTAGGCCTGGCCAGGTGCTCCCAGACCCAGGTATAAGGCTCTGCCTGTGTCTTCAGCAGGTATGTCCCGCCTCATCGAGCTCTGCCGGTCCCCATCAGAGAGGAACAGCAGTGATGCTGTGCTTGTGGCCTGCCTGGTGAGTTCTTAGTCTTCCCAGCCTTCTTCTTGGGTATTGGGATTGCAGATGAGGGACCAGGAGAACTGACTTTGCCGTGGTTTTCTTGGATAAGCCCTGAAGCCTCTCTGGGCTTCAGCTTTTTTTTTTTTTGTTTTTTTGTCTTTAAAAAATGATGTTAATAGTAACACTTGCTTTATTTGATTCATAAGTTGTGGTGAAAGTTATATGTTAAAGATGTGGCTGGGAATCTTCCATGTTTAGTAACCATGAACCTTTGAGGTTCTAGGGAATCTTAACAGAAGATCAAGATCAGAGTGGCCAGCAGAAACCTAGGCAGTGTTCTCGCTGCCATGGGGCCCGCAGCACATGGGGCTAGGATATGGATGTGTCCTGCTTGTCCCAAAGTGGACATTGCCAGAAAAGCCCCCCTTCCCCGTTGGATAGAGCCCCCCAACTGGGCTCTTCTCAGCACTGTGGCTCCCTTCTCCCTTGTGAGACAGACCATCATGTTCCAGCTAGACTTTCTCTCCCCCTGTCTTAAGACTCCTATCCCACCACCTTGGCTCCTGGGGGAGGATTTGGATTCCACCCCCCTCTAGCCTGGGACCAAAGGAGCCCTGGTGGTGTAATGGTTAAGCGCTCAGCTGCTAACTGAAAGATCTAGCAGTGGGTCTAAAACCAGAATGGTCTTTAGAAGCGAGGATGGCAAAACTTTGTCTTGCTTACTTTGGATATATTATCAGGAAAGACTAATCTCTAGAAAAGGATTTCATGTTTAGTAAAGTAGGGGGTTAGCAAACCTGAGGGAAACTCTCAGTGAGATGGATTGACACAATAGCCACAGCAACATGTCAAAGATCATGACGATGGCGCAGGTCCAGGCAACATTTCATTCTGTTATTCATAAGGTCATCGTGAATCAGAGCTAACTCCATGGCAACTAAAAACGACAAGCAGTGGCTCTAATAAATACTGTTATCTTGAGCAGTGATGAGCGTAAATGAAATTTGGAGGTATCTCCAACAACTGTGGAATATGAAATTATCTGTAAATCACGGTCGTAAATCTGGAAATCACACTTTGGGGGAACAAGTCACAGAGATTGCTAAGCCTTCGTGGTCTGTTGCTACATTCGTAACTGGAGGAGATACTAAATTTCAGTTAGAGGTTAGTGAAAATAAAGATGAATTTTTTTTCTCATCCAAGTTTATGAACCCTCTAATTGTGCCTATTCTAGTGAGTAAAATGGGGACAGATTAATAACTGGCAAGCACTTAATAATTGGCCCCAACTACCACTGCAGACAATAACTGCCGGACTCTGAATAGGCCCCAAGGAAATATTAGTAGCATTGGAAGCACTTAGTAATAAAACTCCATTCAGATATGAGGGCTTGTTACTATCACTGTGTCATTTTTACTATCAGTTTAGAGAAGAAGCACTCAGAAGGGCTTATCTATTGTCTTCACTCACTTGAAGGACTTTCCAAGTGGAAAAGGGATTAAGCTTGTTCTTGTGGATGAGTTGGTGAAGAGAGCCCCAATCGATCCTCCCTATGACTCCTGGGTTGATTTTCCTAATGAGTTTACAGTCATGGAACTTCCCTGAACAAACCCTTCCATGGCTCCCCATTACCTACAGGCTACTGTCCACATGCTCAGTTCTTCACAATCTGACTTGGACCCATCCCTGGGGCCTGAAGGCCTCGCATTCTCTGCAGGCCCTGTCCAACTCGGCTAAGCCAGAGTGTCCTGAGCCACCCCAACACACTATTCCTTGGCCCTTGGCTGAAGCACATGGCCTCTCTACACGTTTGCTTATTAAAAGCCTGCCCATCCTCCAAGGCTCAGTTCTCCAGGAGCCCTCCCTGGTGCAAGCACAGGGAGCACACAGAATGTACCTGGGCCTACCCTCTTGGATTTCATTTTACCCAGTGTGGGGCAGGCTGTATCATCCCACGTTCCAGGAAGTGTAAGAGGAGGCTCTTAGAATTCAAACACAGGTCTGTTTGACTCTGAAGGCCTTGACATCATGTTCTAGCTATGCTTTCTCTCCCCATGTCTTTTGGCTCCTATCTTACTACCTTGGCTCCTGGGGAAAGATTTGGATTCCTGCCCCCCACCTCCCCAGGTTGGAACCAAAGAAGCCCTGATGGCATAATGGTTAAGCTCTCAGCTGTTAACTGAAAGGTTGGTGGTTCGAACCCACCGTCGCTCCATGGGAGAGAGATGTGGCAGTCTGCTTCCATCAAGATCACAGCCTTGGAAACCCTATGGGGCAGTTCTTTCTACTCTGTCCTACAGGGTTGCTATGAGTCAGAGTAGACTTGACGGCTACAGGTTACAGGTAGCCTGGGACCTTCTGAGGCCAGGGGCCTTTTTCCAGATCTTTGTATCTCCACAGGACCTTGAATTTTGTGACGGAGGGACTGATAGACTTGTTACCTCCCCACCTCCCAGTGTTGGTGAGTGTCTGTGGTTTGGCTCACAGAAGGGGCACCAACTTTTGAGATGGGGGCTGCTTGGAACCCCACCTGACAGATGGAGTTGGAGGTTTCCTTTCTTGCCCTTCGCAACGGTCTTCTTTCTAATTTCAAAGACTCTCTTCAGGTGGAGTGAGGAAATTTCAATTATTCTCTCCCACATCTGGGGACGTGGCAGCCAGATCGCCTCTCGAAAACACAATTGATTTTTCTCTTAAAGAAGCGGCTGTCAGTGGGCTGCTGAGCTTGTTTAATACTTGCGTATTTCAGGCTGTGTGGGAATGAGATCCTGTGATGACTGGCTATTAACCCTCCCAGGAAAGCGGAGGCTGAGAGAAAGGCTTCAGAAAGGTGTAGGGTCCTTTGAGGCTACTGGACACCGAGGGAGGGGGTGCCCTGAGCAGGTTTGGGGTTCTTGTCCTGCAGACTTTCTGAGGTCCCTGGGGAGGCGAGGGTGTTTATCTGCCTTTTGGCTTTTGCAGGCGTGTTTCTAGTTCTTTCTGTGTATGTGTTTTATTTTTTTCTTGTCTTTCTTTCTAAAGATTGCCTCCTCTCTTAGGGGTTTCTCTCTCCTCTTCTTTCCCTTTCTCCCCACTTACTCTCCCCTCACCCCTTTTTCCCCTCTTTCCCCCTTTCCCTACTCCTCCTCTGCCTCCACGTCTCCTCCACTCTCTCTCTTATTACCCCCCCATGCCTCCCCCTTTTCTCTCTGTCACTATTTCCCTTTTCCTCCCCATCTCTCTTTCATGTTTTGTCTCTTTTCCTTCACTAAGTTAATCTCTGTCTCTGTCTTAATATTTCTTTCTCTTGGTCTTTCTGGCTCTGTCTCTCTGTTGTCTATTTTTTGTGTTCCTCTCCTGTGTTCTTTTCCTAGCTCATATTCTCCCTTGATGAGTCAGTTGTTCTCTTGTCTCTATTTCTGTCCCCCTTTGTCTTTCCCTCCTCTTGCTTTATTTTTACTCCTGATCATGCCAAATACATCTATGACCTCAGAGCTTCTTTGCTGAGTGATCTCTGATATCATATTTACTGTGACAACTCGGGGGCTATGATGTTATTCCTCCCAGTCACAGTCAAGAGGAATCAAAGTGTTACAGACTTCAGCCTCTCTCTCTCCTCCCTCCTTTCTATCCCGCAATAATTGGCTCAGGACTTTGCCAAATTAATGGACAAATGAATATTCTCTGCTGTTCTAAGGTTACTCTAGGGCCCTAGAACCAAACATATAATTTCACTGATGCTTCTGGAAGTTCCAATCTCTGGCATAAACAAATCTTGAAGGTAAATATGTCACTAAGATGGATCGACACAGTGGCTGCAACAATGGGCCCAAACATAGCAATAGTTGTGAGGATGGCACAGGACTGGGAAATGATTCGTTTTGTTATGCTTAAGGCAACTATGAGTCAGAACCAACTTGATAGCACCCAACAACAATAAGTTGACCTGATCCTTAAAATGACATATCTTTAAAAGGACCAATTCCCTAAGACGACTGAAAAACTAAGATGACCAGACCATTACTAAGATCATTAAGAGCTTTTAGATGACATCTACCACGGTGACCAGGATTCACATGTAACCAGGTGTCCAAGTGAGGAGGTCACTATGGTGACCAGCTGGCCACAAGTATCAGATCACTAAGGTGCCAGGTGACCAAGATGATAATCAGCTCAGATTAGCTT